GCTAAGGCAATAACTAAACTTTGGCGGCCATTTTGCTCTAATTATACCTCTGAAACTTGGCGACCCCTACCTCATTCAATCCCAAATATCTCGAGTTGTATTCAGGATAACTGAATATTTTTTTCGTCGAAAACAATACAAATGAACAACCTTTATGATGATACCAATAACTTTACATGACCAAAAATTGACGAGCACCTTATTCCTCCGCGTCGGGACACATGTGATGCAGTATGATGCAGTATGATGCAGTATGATGCAGTATGATGCAGTAAGTCTTATGTATAATTTAATCAACAATCTGTACACAACCACAAGCTTTATTAGATACAGGATCTATACAAACTACGTTAGTGACTTTAGATTATATAACGTATTGGCGAAATGTGTGAAACTGTATAGATTTAACACCCCATACAAGACTAAATTTATTTAACAAGCAGGACCTTCAAATTATACAACATCCATCTCAGCAAGCACCGAGCCAAAGAGGAAAATTCGCTCACAGCGCTTTTCTGGATGACAGAACGTCAAACAGAACTGAGCTCGAACCCACGAACCCGCAATCTCGTGATTACGAGTCCGGTAGCCTAACCATTGGACTATTGACATCGCTGATGTGTGGAGCCAAATTAGAAACGAAATGACTGCAGAGAAGTACAGGTATATGACTACTGATAAAGCATGTTGCTTATCTTTCTGTAAATTTCCTTGGACCTCGTGAGAACAGTCACAGTGCCACCTACTCTAAGACCACATGTCCAAAATCAGTCACCTGTATAAACCACAACCTCCCCACTTGTTTTTCTTTGTTATCTTGAAGTCATAAGTGTCTGAATTCCTATCTCTCTCTCTCCCTCTCCATCCCCCCCCCTCTCTCTCTCTCTCTCTCTCTCTCGCTCTCGCTCTCTGTCTCTGTCTCTCTCGCTCGCTCTCTGTCTCTCTCCGTCTCTCTCTCAAACTAAAGAAAAATGGTTCAAACAGGACTTGAACAAACACATATTCTCTGTATACCGGTGGGTGACAAATCCACTCAATTGCAAAATACAGGAATCCAAATATAAGGATCATGCAGTGAGCTGGAAGTCAGCAGGTATCATCTTTACAACATTAATACATTCCTAGACGGGACTTGAGACAACCAGGCAGTGATTTCACAGGGTATATTCTGTACCTGCGAAAAAGCAATGCGGTCGGTCGTCTCTCTTGTTTTTACCCTGTTCTTCCTTCAAAGTCATTATAGCAACTTTACCAAATCAGAATATTACTGTTTCAAAACAGCTCAAACATCGCATGCCAGTATGTGTGTAAAAGACTGAGGCCCCGAGTTAAAGTCCAACTCCGATATGAAGGTATCTAGAGCCTCAGAATTTCTCGTGAAGAATCCTCTATTGAGAAAGAGCGTAGAATCATCCTTCATTGAGGGAGGGCGACGAAGCATCCTCTACTTAGGAGGAGATTCGAACCAGGCTCGTCTTCCTTAAGGCCCAGTGTGGTGCAGACTGAGCTATCAGTAGCAAGTGTCCAGTTGGCAGTCTCTCAGCGCCCTCGTTATCACTGTGGGTGGAGAAACAGGAACCACGTGGTACCTCCCACGTCCTCTGTAGACTCCAGTTCGGTTCGCTATGAGTCCAAAATGTGAGATATTGACCATATCTTGGGTTTGGGTTTCGTCATAGTCTCCTTCTTCTCTGCCGCTGGCGACTGATGTTGGTCTGGAAGTTTGATGGGGCTGGTGGGCGTGGTGGAGGAAAGGGTGGGGCTAGTGGGCGTGGAGGAATGAAGGGCGGGGCTTGTGGATGTGGCGGAAGTGGTGGCGGCTGTGCTGGATGACGTAATCACAGGCACGGGGGCGGCGGAACAGGAAGTGACCTTTTCGCGGGCTTCAGACCGGAAGACGTCACTTTCGTCTTCAGAAATGTCCGAGAAGGATTCAACTTCACCCTCGCTCGACAGTTTTACTGTGAAAGACAAGTAAAAAAGAGAATGGAGTAAGTTACAATCTGAAAAATATATTGCATTGCACAACAGGATCAGCGTAGAAATACATGTGCATGTATTAATATTTTTTTAGCACTCGGAAACAGTTTAGCTTCAAGAAATGGCAAATCAATAAAAGTAGAATATAGTTCTGAGGCTATGAATGGCGGAGAAAGAGAAGAGTGAAGTGAGGAAACACAAGAATAAACAAATGGTTTATTGTTTAAACAACAACAAAAGTAAAACAAAAAATACATTTAAATAGGTGTAACTATAACAAGCTTCTTCAAAAAACGAACAAATACTTCTAGGAGGGCAGAAAAAGTAACAATATTAGGAACGAAAGATGAAAATATGACCTAGGTTGAAAGACTTTATTTCGTGAAGAAGTGTAACAACTTGTTCCTTGTTGTCGGGTCGAAGGGGGGGAGGGTTTGAAAAAAAAGGGGAGGGGGGTTGTCTAAGCAAAAGTTGTATGCTTTTTTGTGTAGTTTAATGGTGAAATAGAGGAGGTTATTCGACACATGTAGACTCTTAACAAACACTTCGCGCCAGCCGAGTCACGCCACTTCTGTAATGACTTTAATCTCATGGCGTCCGGGCATACATACACCCCTCTCAACAACAAAAAAATAACAACAAAAAATCAGCACAGACACGCAACAGGCCCCGGTGAAGAGCTCGTCTCTAAATCCTGCAATCATCGTCCAGCTTTGAGCCCTCGGTGTTACGTCAATTATCACCTCGATCCAGAGTCACCCGGACGAGAGGGAGAGGGTCGGGGTCTAGATTAAGGCCACGGGTAGAGCGGCTCTGGCGGATGATCGTCCGTGTGGGACCTAAACTACCCCGGGTAACTTTATCGAGGCGACACCGTATTCCCAGTGCCACATTAGCCGGACAGGGGATTGGCGGGAAAGCCTCGCAGGCGGCGACTGGATTTGTTCGGAGGGCTGCGAGCGAAACTTGAGCCAGTCTGTTGGATTCCGTTTTTGGACATTTTTTCTTCTTACACTTTAACTCTTTGAGGACATATATTTGAGGGCATGCATTCTGCTTATTCGGCAATGTTTGGAGACGCGCTGTTTGGGGAACTTAAAGAACTACGTTATTCATACAAATGTTCTAATCCCCCCCACCCCCCGCCCCCTTTGCCTGAAACCTAAAAAGGGCAGACAATAACGTGACATGCGTACTATAAGAGGGTGGTTGGAGTGTGCCACTGGTGGCTGTCCTAATTCTTTACTTTTCCTACTTTGTTTCTGTCTTTTTGTCTTACTTTTTCAAGCACTAACTGACCGTTATTGTGCCGATATGAATCTCGTTACTAAAATAAATAAATAAATAAATAATTAAATAAATAAATAAAACAAAAGGAAACAAAATAAAACAAAGCAAATTAAACAAAACAAAAAAAGCAAGCTATGAAATTTACAAAGTTGTGTTTATGATTTATGTATGATCTGTAGTCAGACATGTGAGGCATCGTGGGGAAATCAGACGCTCGTCAAAATAATGAGATCCAAGAAACCGCCATTTTTCTTGCCTTTGGGATTTTTTTCTGTCAAATTTTCTTTTTTCTTTTTTTAAATTGGCTCAGCACGTTTTGTGTACATTTATAAACACATTGCTGTTTGGATTTTACTGAAAAGACAGTTGATCAAATGCACGCAAAAAATATGTAAATTTGCAGTTTTCAAAGTGTCTCAAGCTTTGAACGTTACCAAAATTTGGCAGCCATTTTCTCGCTAATTTCACCTCTGACATCAGGTGACTCCCACCTCCTTCAATTACAAACATCTCGACTTTTATTCAAGATAGATGGGGAATTTTTAAAAATCGGAAACGAGACAAATGAACAAGCTTTAAGATAATACCAATAAATCCGTACGCCTAAAAAGTGACGATGGCACTCATATGATCTTATGCAGTTGCGAACACCGTAAAACCTTACTAAAACTAAAACTAAAAAACTGACGAGCGCCTGATTCCATTGTGTCGAGAAGCATATTATTTGTGGGTGGTTGGTAGGCGCTTTGGTGTGGTTTGCTTCTTCTTTCCTATCAAACATCTATCGTCTTTATCTACCCTTCTTGTTTTGTATGTTTGTTACTCTCTTGTAACACCTCTCATCTTCTGGCGCTCATATGACCGTATGCAGTTGCGAGCGCCGTAAAACCTCTACTAAAACAAACGAAAACTTATTATTTTGAGTCCACTATGCCCAGAAAGAGTTAAACATACATTTCCCAGACGTTGGCTGACTTAAGGAAGGGACAGACTAAGACTTGTATGTCTGCCTCTGGCTCGTTGATGAATTAAAAGAAAACCTGTTCAGCTTTTTCGGTCAGCTATTGTGTTATGTCTGGTTTTGATACATGCAGACACAGTGGGAGGGTGTCAGAGACAAGGGCGAGGGGAGACTTTGTAGTGACGTCTATATGCTGACAGCGGTGACGGTACTGATGGGGTGGGACT